CCTTTCCCTCTTTGTTGGGTCTCATGGGGGCCACTAGTGCTGAACAGGGGCGTCTGGTTCAAGCCTCTGAAGGGGCTCCAAGAAAATCTGGAGGGCATGCCTTCCTGTTGTGGAGCCTGGAGACGTCCCCACTGCAGCCACCAGACAGCAGTCGGTGGCCTAAGTGGCCAGCATGGCCTTTCTAGTCAGGGAACCAAGAATGTTGCAGCAAAACTGAGCCCAGGAAAGGAGCGACACCTGAGGAAGTCAGGAGGCAGTGAACAAAAGCCAGGTAGTCAGTGTCTGTGAGCCAGCGTTTCTATCTGAGGCATAAGCAGGGGTTACAAAGGCAGGACTGGACAGCCTGGCAGTTCTGATTGGCTATCAGGGTGAGATCATCGGTTATAGGGCTAGCTTAATGACCATCAGTTACAAGACTAGATTAATGACCACAAAGCTGGGTACAATCAGGTTCGGTTATTGTCTCATGTTTACAGTGGTCAAGAAAGAAATTAGTCATGAAACAGTTACAGAGTTAGGCTGCTTTAAAGAGAACAAAGACTTTAAAGTAACAATTTTTCCTAGTACAGATTTTCCTTTCAGGACAACTGGCTAAAATTTTTTTCCCACTCTGTGGCTTGTCTTTCACTGTGTTGCTGATTTCTTTTGTTGTGCAAAAGCCTTTTAATAAGATGAGATCACAGTTGTTGATTCTTTGAAGTATTTCCCAAGTGATCTGGGTTTTATTCATAAAATCTTTCCTTACACTTATGTCTTCAAGATTTCTACCTATTTGCTCTTCCAGTAGATTTGGTTTTTCTGTTTTCATATTTAATATTTAGATCTTTGATGCATTTTGATTTTAGTATGGTATGTGTTTATAGACATGGACCTAGTGTTTGTCTTCAGCATGAGGAAAGCCAATGTTTCCTGTACAATTTATTACAGAGGCTATCTTTCTTCCAGTAATCATGTTTGGCCCCTTTGTGAGAATAAGTTGGCTAGTGTGTTTTGAGTTGTGTCTGCATCTTCTAATCTGTTCCACTGATCTTCAGGTCTGTTTTATTTTGTTAGTACCATGCTGGTTTTATCACAGTATGTATGTATATATATGTGAATTAATTTAGAAACAGATTCTCTCTCTTTTTTTTTTTTTTTCTGGTGCCGGAAATCGAACTCACGACCCTGCGCTTGTGGGGCAGGTGCTGTGCTGCTGAGCTAAATCCTCAGCCCTCAGATTCTCTCTATGTTGCCCAGGCTGGGTTTGAGCTAATGGGCTCATGCAATCCTTCTGCCTTAGCCTCTCTACTAGCTGGGACTACAGACATGCACTATCTCACCCAGCTTTCAGCCTTATTTAAGTCAGTTACTATGAATCCATCTGACACAACAGATGTGAATAAAAAGGAAAACAATTATTTAAATGATTCTTCCTGGGCTAGCTCCCTTGCCTAGCAGGGAAAAAACTCTAGAAGACTATTTTGCCTCTTGCAGTTTTGGGGCCAGAAGCAGATATTTAGTGGACCAGATTCCTGGTCTTTGTAAATATCTAAGTCTGAGAGTAGTTGAGTAGTGAGCACTTATCTTATTTAAAAATTACAAACAATCCCACCCATGTACCATACACATTATAATGGATTTTTAAAAAAATATAAAGGCAGTAAATCTGTCTAAAATCTTAAGCAAATTACCCAATTTACCAAATCACCTGCTTTCTCAGGTAAAAGTCCAGTTCAGTCTCTTTAATGCATTCATGTTTACCCGTTACACATACCTATTTGGCCACCAGCTTGAGACTACTCCTCCGTGTTACCCTGTCTAATGACATGGCCCGGTCTCTGGATTCACCAACATTCAGCATCCACGGAGTGATCAATTCACATTCAGATCCCTAGGGTATGTGTAGTTGCCTACTCTTACATAATCATGTCCTCCGCCTTTAGCTCTTCCCTGCAAACTTCCTCCTGTCTCCTTGTAAGACTGGCTGTTCCACTCCTCTGAGATGTTATTCAAGATTTCCAAAGACATTCTTTGCAAAATGAGACTTTCATACATCAGCCACTGTGTTCATTCTTGCATGGTGGCCCACCCTCACACTGTCGGGTATACTTCTTTTCCTACTTTTATTTGGTCCAAACTCGATCTGCAGAGCCTGTTTCTTCTCCCACCTTTAATAAAACGTTAGTACTGTTTAATACATGTTTTCTTGCTCTCAGCTGTCCTCTTATACTTTAAGGAGAAAAAAAGTGCACCTGGAGACATCATTCTCAATTTTCTACTTTTGCTGCCTCTCTTCATTCAGTTTCACACAACTTTCCTGACAGGACAGTGTCTTGTATAAGGCCAATTCCTCAGTACACTTAAACTTCTCTAAACTTAAAATAATGACTTAAAATGTCTCTATGGAAGGGAAAGAAGGAGAAATTTTGTATGTATGTATATACAGGAAAGTTAACATGGTTGTTCTTCTGTCTTCTATTTCTATGCTGAAAGAAACTGTCAATGAGTCTTTGGTTGACCAGTATTGCATGTTTATATCTGTTTTCATGAGAAGCCACTTTGAAGATATCAATATGTAATACAACCACCATTGTTAATTCCCTACCACTTTGTTTGTAACTCTGTATTGTCTGTATTGTGCTTGTGATATGTTGTAAAATGTTGTATGTCTGTTAATGTTTCCCTCCTTTTATCTTTAAAATAAAAAAAAATGTCTCTATGGCTTCTCAAATTTTTTTTAAAGCATGATCTGTTAACCATGTCTTTAACCATTTGATCCAGCAATGGCACATTTGGGTATATATCCAAAATAATTGAAAGTAGGGTCTCAGAGTGATATTTGAGTTTTTATTGATGGACAAATGGACAAGCAAGATGTGGCATTTACATTCTGTGGAACAATATTGCACTTTAAAATACAAGGCAGTCCTGTCATATGCTAAAACATGGATAAAGGGGCTGGGGATTTGGCTCAGCGGCACAGTGCCTGCCTGGCAAGCTCAAGGTTGTGAGTTCAATTCCTGGTACCGGAAAAAAAAATAAAACATGGATAAAACTGAAGCACATTACACTAAGTTAGATAAGCCAATCTCAAAAGGAGATAAATCAAACTTTATGATTGCATCTCTATATAGTATCTAAAGCAGTCAAATAAATGGAAACAAGAAATAGAGTGGTGGTTACTAGGGGCTTGGAGGGAGGGAAATTGAGGAATTATTATTTAATGAGCACAGAGTTTTAGTTTTATACGATGAAAAAGTGAATATAGCTAAGAAACATTACTGCATCATTCACTTAAACTGGCTAAGATGGTAAATTTTTATATCTGTTCTTTACCACAGTTAAAATGCCCCCAGACTTAATGTCTCTCTCTAGCTGCTATTCTTTTGAAGAACATTGTATGGTCACTGTCATCTCTTCCTTATCGTCCATGCCCTCTTCATCTTATTGCCATGTGATTTCTGTCCTTATCATTCCACTAAAACTTTTCTTGTCAAGTTTGTCAATGGCCTTTTCTGAGCTTAGTGTACTCATGGTATGGGGCTCTCCATCCTGGAAATTCTTTTATCCTTTGGCTTCTGTGAGTCTCTGACTTGTTTTCTGCGGCTGTCGATCCGACAATTTAACTCTCACTCTTTTGTTTGCTATTTTTCCCCTTCCTTTTCTTCATAAATGGTTCTGTCCTTGGCCTGCTGCTCTTTGGGCATTCACAGTTCTTTTTAGTTTCATTGAGAAAGTGCAACTAAACCTGAAGTGCCAGCTCTCAAAATTTATACCTCTGCTCAAGTCTCCCTCTGCCTTTTCAATTCTATACTAATGCCCCATAAATTTTTCAAACTGAGCTCTTCAATTTAAACTCATTCTCTCTCCTTCTGGGTTTTATAGTTCAGTGATTTTTATCTCCAATTGCATTTAGAACCTTGGAGTCCAACTAGAATCTTAACTTTCCCGTATCTTCCACATCCAATTAGTCCAGAGGCCTAATTATTCTAAGCCTTATTCTGAAAATTAACTTCACCTGTTAAGACCTTCAGTTTTATCACCCATCATGCAATTTTGTCTTCCTCAGATTAATCTTCCACATCATGTTAGAAGTGGTTTTAAAATTTAGGTCTGCAAATGAGGCGGGCCCACTTAAAGACCTTCAGTGGCTTACTGCTGCTTTTTTTTTTTTTTTTTTTTGGTTTTGGTTTTTCTCCGGTACCAGGAACCGAACTCACGACCTTGCACATGCCAGGCAGGCGCTTTTGCCGCTGAGCTAAATCCCCAACCCCCTACTGCTGCTTTTAAGTGCTCAACCCCTTAATAGTCACCATACAAAAGTCTTGACTTCACTCTTGCTTCAGCTGTCCTGTTTTGACATACCCAGCAAGGTGCCACGATTCTTAATTTATCAATAATGTACCTGTGCATATGCCGTTATGCCCCATTCATTTTAAAAAAAAAAACTTTTGTCTTTTTGAGACAGGGTCTCACTGCAGTTCAGGCTGGCCCCGAACTCACAGCAATCCTCCTGCATCAGTCTCCCAGGTGCTGGGATTAGAGGCATGTACCACTACGCCCAGCCACCCCTATTCATGCTTCAGAGCATATGATGTTATGCTGCTATGAGCGTCACTTTATCTGTCCCTCACTGCATCTAGTTCTTTCAAATGAGGGATTACATTTTACATCTCTGCATCCCACCCTCAAACACCCTGCCTGTTTGTGATTTACTCCCCACTTTTGGGGTATTGCAGTGAGTGTGTGCGTGTGTGCGTGTGTGCCCGCGCCTGTACATATGCACTAATGCAGAGTATAAATTTGAGCGGCTACGGGCCACAAAACACACTGGTTGCAGGCACAAAAGCCGCATTGTTTTCAGTCAGGTTTTAACCATCATCACCACGGAAACTCATTGAGCAGCTCACCACCTCAGTGTCAGCGCACAGCCTTGATAGCGCAGGCGCAAACTACCGACACCACCGCGCTGGGACGCTGAGGCGGGGCTCGTGACTACCTCCGGTTAGAGGGCACGCACAGGCGCAGATGCAAGAACTGCTCATCCTCCAGCCCTCTCTACATCCAATCAACTGCTGAAAGACAGCGGAAAAAAAAAAACAAACTTCCGGGAAGGTGAAGCCACACTTTCTGGGCTGCAACATGGAGTTTTCCAGTGGGACGGATGAGCCGGTGAGGCGCTGCTCTGGGGTTGGCGGGGTAGAAAAGTGGGGGTAGAAAAGTGGAGCAGATTAGAGCCTTGCATTCTCACCCCGCCCCCGTGTTTTTTCCTCTTCTCAGGTTTCCGCGGAGGTAGTGTCCATCGCAAATGCTCTTTCTCTGCCAGCAGAGTCTTACGGCAATGATGTGAGTATGACTCACCCACAGCTCCCATCCATAAAGCAAGCCTGAGAGCTTTGCAAGGCCTGCTACTAAATTATACGCCCCTTCCCTGGTATCTTCTGCAGACGCGGTGCACATCCGCCCAGATCTTCACCTTCTTTCAGTTCGTGCTAATCTCCGTTCACAAGCGCAGGACTAATCTATGTGAACATAGAATTGTTTCCCTAAATTTGCTAAGCTTTAGAATCACCTGGGAGGCTTTTAAACACCCCCATGATCGGATTACAGCGTGTCATAATGTTTATGTTTAGGTCACAATGTCTGGGAGATGGGAGTCGAGAATCAATATTTTTTAAAGATCCTGGGGTGATTTCATTGTGCAGCCACAGTTTGTAGGTTTAGCCCTTTATGGAGAAAGCCGATGATTTATTTTGAGAAACAAAAGGATGGTGAGAATAGTAGCAACAACTGCATGAGAAAGTAATGCATAGTTGATCAGTGGGTCAGGGCATAGCATCCTCTAAGGATGGAGGCAGTAGAAGACTGCTGAGGAAGTGGAGGTTGAACTGTATCCTCAAAGTGTAAGTGAACAAAGGACATGGATTGGCAGTTAGCTGAAGTTTGGGCATGGTCTAGGCATGGAGGTAAAATTCAAATTGCTGGTTCTAGAGTTTATGAAGTAGATCCATCCACCTGTTGTAGTGGGAGATTCCAGTGGAACAAGTGATGTAGGTGGTTGGTAAGAAGACTTACATATAACGGGGCCTGCTTCATGAGACTGATTGATCTGTAGGCATTACAGGATGGGGAGTTGACTGTATAATAAACAAAAATCATAATTGTGAAATGCTACCCGCAAAAGTTGAAAAGTGGTTTCACGTTCATTATCTTTGTCTTCCCAACAACTCAGTAGTCTAAGTGGACATATTACTTAATTATTACAATGATGAACTTAGTCCTGAGAAGCCAATTTATCTACTGCTTTATGTAGTCTCCCACCCTTTGACTAGTTGCTGGGAAAAGATAACCGGTGGTTCATTGTGTAAATATGTTCTTTTGATTGTCATAAGGAAAAAAGAATGAGTATGTTATGCAAATCTGTCAGTCCAGTTTTTATCCTTTGACAGTAACAGCAATGTTGGTGCCCTTTTGAGCACTAACTAGACATCCACAGACTTCTTTGTTTGTTACCCAGTAGCAGGACTGGGAAATTACTGACCTGGTATTCCTCACTCCTTTGCAGCCAGATATTGAGATGGCTTGGGCTATGAGAGCAATGCAGCATGCTGAAGTATATTACAAGGTGAGCTATCTGTCTTCATTGCTAAACAGAATTAAGTGTGTTATTGTAGTGTATGATGCTCTGCTAGGCACTGTTGTCAGCAAGTTGAACCATTATGTTTTGGAGGTAGTTTTAATTAGTATAAATCTTATTTGCAGAGCTCGGGGGTAGAAGTGAATTTGTTTTGACAATGAAGAGTTGTGCATCTCTGCCCAGTGTTTTGTTGCTACCTGGCAAAAGAGTGTCTGTAAATAGTAGATATTTTATAAATGTTTGTTGAAGGAAAGAAAATCCATAGAGAGCAACAACTCAGCAGTGCTAGGACCAAATGGACCAGTTGCCAAATTGGTGGAAGGACGGCAATGTATTAAAGCCTTTCAAAACTTCATCATGATTTCATGCAAGGCGTAGGCTGTTATCCTTCTTAATGAAATCTTCTGCCCTGAGGATCATAGGGTTTATGGTGAGTGGGGGTGAGGGGTAGAAGTGTAAAAAATTAAAGACAAGCATCTGTATGTGGTTTTACTCTCTGGCAGCTGATTTCATCAGTTGACCCACAGTTCCTGAAACTCACCAAAGTGGATGATCAGATCTACTCTGAATTCCGGGAGCATTTTGAGAAACTCAAGATAGATGTATTGGACCCAGAAGAACTCAAATCAGATTCGGCTAAAGAGGTAAGAATTCTCTCAGATATTACCTAGCATCTGGCCAAG